CCCTCCAGTGAGGACCAAACCCACTTGCTAGATAGTATGGCATCTACCACGGGCGACAAACCACCAGCATGGTTTTCTGGCTTCGTGAATAATGAATTCACTGAATTTCGGGACGAGATCAGAGCCACCCAGACCTCCATTCTGACTAAAGTCAATCGTGTTGCCGACGAGGTGAAGAGCCTCAGTCCGTGGTGGGTCTCAAGGATCGTTCCGAGCTCCTTATTATGGGCCTACCGCAGGGGTTCCAGGGTTCGCTGAAGGATGCCGCCGGGATGCTTTTTGAGGCGATTGGCTGTCCAAACGCTGGTGGTCGCATAGTGGCCACCAGAAGATGGACTGCCACTCGCTCTCGTCCAAATCCGACCGTTACTACGTCCACTTTCGTCGTGCGTATCGACTCAACGGTGGTGCGTGATGTCATACTGGAGCTCTCGGGCAATCTAGCTGGGAAGACGGCGAGGGACATTTTTAAGTGCGGTCACGGAAATCCCGTCTTCATCCGCCAGCTGTTACCGCAGCCCATCCACAATCTCTTTGTAAAGGTACTCGCGCGCAGTCGTGAGCTGGGTTTCGCGCGCCCTTTCGTCTCGGGGATGGTCGTCCATATGCGGGAGAACACACGTTCCACCCCTATCCCAATCACGTCGGAGAGTGACCTTGACACCTGCGCGCCTGTGCCTCCTGGTCAGCCTCCTGCCCAGGCCGCTCCGCGCTCTGGTGCCATGTCAGTGGCTGCCACTCCGATCGGCACTCGCAGACATGCTCCACTCAACCTTAACTTCGCGCCCCAGGTTGTCAAATCGCGACCTACTGCCTTCATCCCAAAAAATCCGGCTCCGCAACTTAGCAAGACAGACGGTTGTTTCAGCCCGACAGTGTCTGTCGTTCCGGCCCAGCTATCTCAAGCCATCCCAACTTCATCTCCTCCAGTTTCTGGTCCATGATGCCAACTAATCCGGGACCATACCCCGCCCTCTGCTTCCTTCGTTGTCGGCCACATCAATATAAACAGACTTAATTCCCCCCGTCACTTTGCTCTTCTCGAAGCACAAGCCATTTCTACACATTTTGATGTCATAACCATTACCGAAACTTTCCTCTCACCTGATATCTCTGACTCACACCTCTCTCTGCCCGATTTCAATTTTTTCAGGCTTGACCGAATTGGAAAGCAGGGTGGCGGTGTTGGTCTGTACGTCAGATCTCACTTTAAATTCAGTTTCCTAGCTACTTCAGATTCAGTTTTCGATAACACGCCTGAATTCATCCTGGGTGAAATCAAGTCCGACAACACCAAGCTTTTGATGGCGGTGGTTTACAGACGTCTCTCTGCTTGCTCTCCCACACACTTTTTCAACTGCTTGGCCACTTACCTCCCTCTGTACGGAAATGTCATCATTACCGGTGATTTTAACGCAGACCTAGGTTCCAGCTCTCTGCCAGATGCTCGAGCTTTGAGATCTCTCGTTGACCTGCACAACCTCCACTTCGTATCCACTGCTCCCACTCATCACTGTCTTGATACAAATCCCCCTTCCCACACTACTCTTGACCTCTTCATAGTGAAAGACCTAAATGCTATCCAGACATTTGGAAAGTCTGATACTCCTTTTATTGCTGATCATGATTTCATCTCGCTCACCTATCGTTTCGCTACTAACAATCATATCACCAGAGTCATTAGGTCCCGCAGTTTGAATCGGGTGGACGAAGCGGCCTTAAATGGGACCCCCAGGGGCCTTCTCTCGAATCTGGTCGACATTTTTTCAACACGACTGCAGCACTCTTTCGACCCGTCGATCGAAGCCGACGTGCATCCCCTTGACAACTTTGTGCACTCTCTCACTGAAGTCCTCATAAAATCCTTTGACGAGGTAGCCCCTCTTAGGTGCATCAAGTTGTCTTCTAGGCGTAAACCCTGGGTGACTTCGAGCATTCTTGCGCTTATGAAAAAGCGTGACGCTGCCTATAAACTGGCATCCTCCACCTGCTCGGGCAGTGACGTCGCTGGGTATCGAAGACTACGCAACGATGTCTCAAATGCCCTCGACTCTGCAAAAAATTCCTGCATTTCAGGCAGACTGTCTTCCGCAGCCACCAGCAAGGCCAGATGGAGAGAGTTACGAAACTTGGGAGTCACAAGGCGCGCTCTTCCATCCCCGTTTCAATTTTTTTCTCCAGCCGTACTAAACACCCACTTTGCCAACATAGTCAACTCGTCCCCTCCATTGACACGTGACTTTTTGGACGCCCTTTTAGCGAGTCCCCCAAACGCTCCTCACGTCCACTCCCCATTCAATTTTCGTGAGGTTACTTGCCAGGAGGTCATGGATGCACTAAACTCGTCCACATCCAGAACATTCGGTCCTGATGGTTTGTCTGTCAAGATGCTTAAATTCGTCTCCTCTTCTTGTCTCTCATCTCTCACGCATCTTGTGAACAAATCATTACTGTGCGGCGTCTTCCCTACCTCCTGGAAACGGTCTCTCATCACCCCTCTTGCCAAAGTACCTTCGCCCGCTCTTTTATCGGACATCAGACCGATAGCAAGGTTATCTGAGGTATCAAAGGTGCTTGAGAGGCTCGTTTATTTACAACTCTCGTCTTACCTGGACCGCCACAAGCTGCGTGATCCACGGCAGGCGGGTTTCGTGCGGTTTCACAGCACCCAGACAGCTCTCCTGGGTGTCCTGGATGACGTCCGCAGGGCTATTGAGGAGCGTAAAATTACAATCCTCGTCCTGCTGGATTTCTCCAGGGCTTTCGACGTTATCCCCCATGGTCGTCTGATGGTCAAGCTCAGGGACCTATGCCTGTCTGACACTGTCCTGGGATGGTTTTTTAGCTATCTGACTGACAGGTTTCAGGCTGTTATGGGGGAGGATGGTAGGGTGTCGGATTGGCTCAGGGTCGCTACTGGAGTACCGCAGGGTAGTATTCTGGGACCATTGCTATTTGCAATCTTTATCTCGGACCTGCCCTCTGTTCTCTCCTTCATGAACTATATGCTATATGCCGACGACACGCAGGTCTATCTTCTCTGTCATCCTAGCAGCCTTACGGAGGCTTTGGGGAGGGTGCAGCTTGATGTGCAGGCTATAGCGGATTGGGCACTAGGAAACGGTATCTCCCTGAACCTCACCAAGACCAAGGTCATGATACTGGGCAGTGAACAGTACGTTAGGGCTATTAACTTGAATGACATCGTGAAGATCACCATCAACGAGGTTCCACTCGACTATGTTACCAATGCTCGTAATCTGGGCGTGACACTTACTCCCACGTTAAAATGGTCCGAACATGTGAGAAGCGTGACGAGGAGGGCATACGGCTGTCTGGCTTCACTTCGTTTCCACAGGAAATCTCTCTCGACTACCCTCAGAAAAGTTCTTGTCGAGCAACTCGTTTTCCCACATTTCGATTACCTCTCAGTGGTTTGTATTCAGCTTGATGGAGAGCGCTCGTCTAAGCTTCAAGTTGCACAAAACGCCTGCGTACGCTTCGTAATAGGATGGATCCCTTTTATACCTTCTCTATCCTTAAATAGCCACATCACGCACCATAGACTAGCCCTGGGCTGGCTATCCCTCACCCCAAATAGGTATAGAGCCCTTGCCGTTCTGGCCTACTCTGTTGTGTCCAGAAAATCGCCGCATTACCTGGCTAAAAACCTGTCTGTCCTGCTCGATGGTGTCATTATCCGGCGCTCGGGTCGCCACCCGCCGTCGGCGTTTGAATACAAGGCCCCTCGAACTGAGGCATGGAACCATTCCTTTGCTATCCTTGCTCAGAGAATACTCAACTCACTGAGCGTGACCCTGTTCTCCACCGATCGGATCCCTAACTTCAGGGATTGGACCCGTGATCTATTCTTAAACTACGAGGCTAGAGCATGGATTGAGAGGGCGACTCGCGAGCAGTTAATGCCGGTACCGGCACTGTTCGATTATACTCGCACACCAAACAGGGTCAATCCAGCCGCGTTCTCCCAAAATTATCCATCGTCCCACACTTACCCCTCTATCGACCTATGGTTCATGAAATAGCTAATTGAATGGTTATTTTCTAGCCGAACGCACGTCGATCCACCTATATACCTTTCCTCTTTTCAGACCTTCCTTCTGTAAAACAGGTGCCATTCGCGTCTTTACTACTCTTGCTATTTTTATTATTTTTTACTACTTTTAGTATTTTGTTGTTGTTACTATTTTTATTGTTTTCTATTACCTTTATTGTCTTTATTATCTTAGTATTATTTTTCATCTTTTATTATTGTTAACTTTGTCGTTTTATCTGATAACTCATTTATATTGTTCTTTATATATTTTATTTTACTATATTTCCATATTTAATTCTATTTTTATTTTTACATATATACTCTTAGTGTTTACTGTTAATGCCATTGGAAACTCGCTGCTCACCGTATATACTACTCACACAGTTTCACGTAATTCATTTCCTTCAAATAGTCAAATGCGTCACTTTTCATCCTTGCATCTCCTCTTTTGTCATGTTTAAATTTTGTTATTATTTTGTTATGTACATTTTCCAAACTGCCAGACGGGGTTCCACCTCATTGGCGCAATAAACGAACTAATCTAATCTAATCTAATCTCTCTCTCTCTCTCTCTTTCCCTCTCGCTTACTCTTCCTCCTACTTGGTTGCTCGCGTTGCACAACTAACTTGACTCAATGCGATGCGACATTAACCTTTATAAAAACTATAATTTTATTTTATAATTTTATAAAAACCAATTGTTTAAGCGTGATATTTATTTTGTTTTAATTTATAATTAAACATACTGGTATAAATATTAAACTATTGTGAGTATAAAAATTTTTTTTTAATATTTCTCCTCATTAAATGTTAAGCGTCTATCTATAGCAAGTAATTAAGTTTATTAATGCAAATCATTATTTGCAAAAGCACTTCATAACATCAATATTTACAGGATTTTTAATTTTATTAATAATTTACCTATATAAATTTTTGTTTCCAGAGAATAGAATAGAAGCTGAGCACTGCCACTTTCTTCCGGAATGGATATTAGAAGTTACAGAAGATTTAGATTCTTGCATAGCTCAACGTCATTTCGATGATGCTTTTAATTTACTAGACCGAACAAAAACTTATATACAGAATATGCAAACTACTCAAAATTTTTGTAATCTTAAAGCAAAAATTCATGGAAGATCTAATTCTCTTATTAATGTTTTGAGAAAAGAATTAGAAATGAGCGCTGAAGCTAAATCTCTTCAAGGAGGAGGACTGAGAAGCGCCAGAAGAGCTGTTAAATTACTTATTCGTCTTAATCACAGTGCGCAAGCATGTCAGCTTTATCTAAGATTATGCAGTGCGGTATTGAAGGCTAGGCTAAGGCGCGTAAAGAGAGAAGGATCGATTCTACCGTACATAAAACAAATGAGTGCTATAGTCTTCAGTAATATTTCTGAAATGTCACAAAAATTCTTGAAAATATTTTTTCCGCATACAACTTGTACCTCAGGTAAATTATGTGACTTAAAAATCCAAGCAAAATACCTTTCTACTTATTTACTATAACTTGCAGCTTTTATTGTATGGTGCAGCCATGAGCTTAGATTATTCACTTCTCATGTAATTAAACAAATGTTTATTCCTCAAGTACCATTAACCACTTTGGCTGAATGCATTATGATTCTACGTGATCATTGTGAACAGGTTTGTTATTATTATATACAATTATAATCTTGTACAATGTAACAACAGAAGAGTATATGCAGTATTTGATCGACACCTTGCCTCTTGTATAACTTGCCTTTCGCAGGCAAATCTATATTCGAGCTTTTTTATTTAGAATAGAAAAATATATTGAATTGTTTAACAGAAGAAATGATTACACTGAATTCCCGACTTTCAAGTGACTTGACCAGCAATACCGAAAAATTCATGCATACGACCGTCATGGTGACTCGCGCAACAAATTGAGCGAAGTACCACCATGCACCGTCAATCTCTTTCTTTCTCTTTCGCTCTTTCTCCCTTACTGGTAAACGTCCAAATAACATATTATTTAGCTCTCTCTTCAAATATTTTGGATTATAATTTTATTTTTTCACTCTATGTCGAGTAAATTGTTGCAGTCTTTCCGACGGCTCGCTGAAATTTGTGCTTTTTGCACATTTTTTGTTAAGTTTAGCGGTCTAGAGTTACCTTCATTTCCACGGACGTGATACTATATCTCATCAACGTTTAAGGCGAGCCCAAGTAAAATTTCAGCCTGATGATAATTTATTGATGCGGAAGTGATTGATTTGGTTTTATACGTAAAATGTGTATTCTAGTTATGTGCAGTCTGAAAAATTCTAACAGATTTTTTTTTCATGTTTTTCAAAAAAAAAATTTTTCAAAAAAAATTGCAGCTTAAGGTACTAGTACTTATTAGAATTTTGAAAAGATCGATTTTTTTTCACGGATTTCGATTCGTTAGAACTTCAAAAATAATTCCCTAAAATGTTATATGAAAATTCGAAGCCAAAAATGAGATATATCAACTTTAGTGAACGCGCGCTCTCGGCTCGCTGCAGGTGGTTTACGCAGCTATCGGTTGCAAGGCTTTAAAATATTTTCCTCTCTCCAAAATACCGGTTATATGTTTACATCCATATTGTTTACTTTCTTATGGGTTTTAAGTTCTTTTGTATCGTTACTTTTATATGATTAAGGTATTGCCGATTAACTGATAGTAAGCTATAAAAATCGTTTTTTTTTAATATGTTCTTAATAAGCTTTAAACGCGTTTTTCTTGAAATCACTTTTTTTCAACTGGCGCACAGGTAATCTCCGAATCTACTCACTCAATTTAAATAAATCTCAAAGCATTTTGTTTGTTTAAGCTTTCTTTACAAGAAGTGACCACAATTTGATTAAAAAATTGAAAAAAAGATTTTAGCGTCAAAAAGATATCGGAGAAAAGGTCGATTTTTGAACTTTCTGTTTGAACGTTCGCCATTTTTTTTAATTTTTCAAATTTTCTGGTTAATTCTTGTGTAAGACGACTTCCTTTTCAAAACCTATTTGGATTTTTTGTTTCAGACTTGTCGTTCCAAAGATTAACTGTCCGCCATGGAGCACGTTCCTTTGAAGGGTCGATTTTGAAAGAAGAATTCAAATTTATTGAAAACACTTTGCACATAGATTCTTCAGTGCACTGCGCAATTGTTCGTAGTGTCCACATACGACAACGCGGCCGAGTGGTAATTAAGTCGGCAATAAAAATGGAACTAGTCCCGCGATATTTAATATTTCGGACTGAAAATTGTTTTACAGGTTCTTTGAATGATTCTGAACAATATGACGTATTGTTCATTTCTAGCTAGTAAACGTTAAGAATTAAAAATTTGAAACCAAAATTTTTTTTTGACAAACACGGAATAAAGTTTTTAGATTTTTTGGACTGTACCATTGAATTTCTCGTTAAATTTTACATATAAAACCATATCAATCACCTCCGCATCAATAAATTATCACTATATTACAATTTCACTTGAGGCTCCCCTTAATCTCTTCATCTTCTAACAACATTAACACTGCCAGGCTTGCTACTAATAGTAAGATCGAGTCATATCAAGTATGAGAATAATAATACAGGACTACAAAATGCAACTTAAATATAACAAAAAACGACTCACATATTCCCATGAATTTTGGCACGCTGAAACCCGAATCTGACCTCCGTTTGTCTTCAATGCATATTGCTATTTTGTCCCCGTCATCTCAGTTTCAAGTTGACTTGAAGGTGGTACAAAACGTTCAAATAAAAAATAGCACTTAGCATATCCCCTTCTATTTTTGTGTGCTAAAACCAAATCTAACCTTTGCTTGACTTTATTCAGGTTCAAGGTCATCTGAAAGTCATTACCGTTATTTGTGCTGAACATTTCATCGCGGTTACGGGTTATAATAGTTTAGTTTATTTATTTACAACTTATATGTTACATTTGGTTTACATTTCTTATATTGCTATTTGTGTCTCGTATCTAGTTTGTATAGTTGATTATGTATGTGTTTTGTGTGTGTGTGTGTGAGTGCGCGCGTGCGCGTGTGTGTGCGTGTGTTGTATAAATATGTGTATTTGTAGGTGTGTCTGCAACTCTTATGTCCCTGTCTTCTGCGCCTGTCTGTTCCTCTTTTCTTCTCATTTTTCTTCTGATTAATCTTCTCTTCCTCTTTCTCTCTCCAAGATCTGCCTTCCTTTTTATTATTCCTTATGTTTTATCTTTTCCGCTCTTCTGTTTTATTTTTTTTTTCTCTTTCTTGCATATTTTCTTTTCAGCTTTTCATTTATTACTTTCTTTTGCCTTTTCACCTTTGCCTTTCCTTTGCTTTTGCTCTCCTTCTTGCTAATCATTTCATCTATCTTTCTCCTTATTAAGGCTTTGACACCTTTTTCTTGTATCCTATTGCTCCCTCTGCCTTACCTTTCCTCAACCTCACTTATTTTTCCTTAGTATCTTATGCTTTGTCTTCTAGTTTACCTTTTTCTTTCTCTTCTTCGATTCTTCTTCTTTTCCATTTTGCTCCATCCTCCAATACCTGCTTCCTTTCGTTTGTGTAGTTGCTGTTACTTGTGTCTTGTGTGTGTGTGCATGTGTATGTTTATGTTTGCGCGTATATTCGTTTTTTGTGTGTATGTGTGTGTATGTATGTGTGTGTAGATGTGTCTGCGAGTATTGCTTCTCTGTCTTCTGTTTCCGTCTCTCCTTAGGGTCTTGCAGCTTCGTCTTCTTGCTTTTCTTTTTCTTTCTTCTCTTCGTTTCTTCTTCTTTCCCATTTTATCTCCATCATCCACGCTATCTTTTCTTTGCTTCCTATTATTATTTTTTCCCATTCTTCCCCTTCCTTTCTGCTTTTTTCACAATTTTCTACCATGTGCTTCCAATTTTCTTCCCCTTTTATACACATTCTGTATCTCTTATTTTCTTCTTTTTCCCAATACCTGCTTCCTCTCGTTTCATTACCGAACCTAAACCTTTCTCTTATTTGCAGGCCTTTTATTCTTCCCTCCTTGAATTTCCTTTAACCTATACCTTTTCATTTCTTCTTTCAGCTCTTTCCACTCGTTTATGTAATTTGATTTTTCTAGTTTTTCTTCTAGTTCTTTTTCATCTTTCTCATCTCTTATTTCTTACCAAAACTCTTCCCTCATTTCATCTCCCTTTTCCCTCTCTCTGTATATTTTACTTTTTTCCAGCCTTTCCTCTCTCTCCTCCTTCTTACCCTTTTTATCTTTTTCATTTCTTTCCCTTTTCTTTAATTGTCTCCATGCTTCTTTTTTTATTAAGCCATCTCTTTCTTCTCTTATTTTGTTTTCATACTTCATTGCTCTTTCTAATGCTGTTTCTTTCATTTCTTGTCTTCCTGTTTCCCATCGTATTAGATAACTTGGCGTGTTTCTATCTAATCCTAATACCCACTTTATGTATTTTAGTTGTAGTCTCTCTATTTCCTCATATCTCTTCCATCCCGACATTTCTGCTCCAGACATAATCACGCTTTTCACCAGAGCATCGAACAGGTTCATCCTTAGCTCCCAGTTTTCTCTAAATAGCTGGTCTCCTAGCCCCCATAGCCTTCCGAGTCCCATATTTATTTTCCCTTCTACCTTCTTTATCTGCTTTTTATTTCCGTTATTTCTGCTTATCACATATCCCAAGTAGTTGTACTCTTTCACCATCTCTATCTTCTCTTCCTCCTCCTCTCCTACATTTCATCATCTTTGATTTTCCTACATTTAACTCTAATCCCCTTTCTTCCAGGTATCTTTTTAATTTTTTCAGCATTGCTTTCATTCCACTTTCACTCTTTGCCATCATCACTATATCATCTGCATATCCTAATGTCCATATTTTCTTCTTTCCTATCACTACCCCTCCCTCTTGCACCTGCTTTATCTTCACTTCCAGGTCGGCGAAGGCAAGATTAAATAGCGTGGTGCTCAAAGGGCATCCTTGCCTTACGCCTTTGTAAGTCTCAAACTCCCCAATTATTTCTCCTCCAACTTTTACCTTACTCCCTGTTTTCTTATATATTTCTTCTATTCTTTTCCTAATTTTTTTATTTATCCCTTTCTCTTTCATTGTTTCCCATATTTTCTTCCTCTTTATTTTATCAAAAGCGGCCTTCATGTCTGCAAAGAATACGAACAGTTTTCCTCCTTTTTCCCTTATTTCCTTCCCTATTATTGTTATTAATATATATATTGCGTCCATTGTTCCTCTTTTCTTCCTAAATCCCATCTGCGTATCGCTTAGCGTTTCTTTAGCTTCTAGTTCTCTTTCCAGCTTTTTCCTCAGTATTTTCGCATATATTTTATATCCTGTATCCATCAGCGTTATTCCTCTATAGTTTCCTACTTCTTCTTTCCTCCCTTTTTTATATATTGGTACTATTATTCCCTTTCTTCATTCTTCCGGATATCCTTCTCCGTTTAAGCATTTTGTCATGTCTTTTATCAAGCCTTCCGTGCCTTCCACCCACACTTCATTTGCTATACCATCTTCTCTTGTCGCCTTTTTCTTTTTCATTTTTCTTATTACCTCTTTTACTTCTCTTTCTTTGATTTCTTCACCTTCCTCTCCTTCGCTGTCTTCGGTTTCTTACCCTTTGCTTTCTTCCTTTTCTTTTTCTCCCAATTGTTCCTTGAAGTGCTTTATCCATTC